CCTGGGTTTGTTAACACCACTACCTTTCCCCCACCTCCCCCTCTCCCATGTCCCCCCAGAACTGTCAGTCCTGTTGTTTTCTCCTCCAGATTGTTCATCCAGCCTATCTTATTTAGAGACAGACCTGCGGAGATAATAACGTGCACAAAAATATGACAGAGCAAAACCAAGCAACAATATACAACAAAACCACCACCACAACAAACCAATGACAAAAGTAAAACAAAACACAAGAAAGAAAAGCTTGTAGTTAGTTCAAGGACTGTTTGTTAACCTTTAGGAGTGTTTTCCAGTCTAGTCTGTTGGGGCACCACGGCCTGGCCCCAAAGTCCACCTTCAGCATTCCCTGGGGACCTTGCCGCTCCGTTCCCTTGCTGTTCTGTTGCACCCCTTTAATGTTTTCCTCAGTGTGGCGGGATCAGATTAGGCGCAATTCCCACACTGTGTCTCTGGTGTTGTCCCCTGTCAGTGAGGGACGTCGTGTCTCATAGTGGGGCCGGCCATGTGGTTCCTTTGTGAACTGGCTGATCTAATTGGGAACATGGTCCTCAAGGCCTGATGGCCCAGGATGTGCTCCACTCTCTCCTCCTCCCCCTTCATCTGCTCTCGTGTGCTCCGATCAGATATGTCCCTCTCCTGGAGCTGCAGATTCAGTGCCGTCCTTTGAAATAAATTCTTCTGGGGGGAGGGGCAGGTGTCCACATAGTAGTTGGGGTTGGGGCCGGCCCCTCAGACCTCTCCACTGGTTCCCTACAAGTTGTACTGGTTTTGTCAATGACAAGACAGTGCTCTGCAAGGTAATTAAGTCTTAATTCTTTCACCTCACATCCTTTGGGCATGTTATCAGGGAGACCAGTTCTTGGAAAAGGACGTCATGGTTGGGAAATAGAAGGCCAGTGAAAAAGCGAGAGACCCTCAGTGAGATGGATAGATTCATTGGCTGCACCAGTGGGTTTCGTCAGAGCAGTAATGATGGGAGGGTGCAGTGCCAGGCAGTGCTTCTGTTGTGTGTAGGGTCACCATGAATTGGAACCCACTAGATGTCACCTACAACAACAGTGAGAGTTTATCTGAAAATGTATTCACCAAAAAGAACCATTAGCAAAGGACACTTGGGTACAATAAAATAATAATTGGTAGAATTAAGATACTATTGTTGGTAGTACTTGCTTCTCTTAGAACCAACTGATGTTATAGAGCAGAGTTATCTTCAAAATTAGACTGACACTACATTAAATATCATATCAGATAATTTCGTCCTCATATTATTTTAGTTGAGAAAAATATTTTTCTTATTTTCTCCTTTTAAAAACTTGGGCTATTTTTTAAACTTTGGGTTCCTCCCAACCTGGTGATATAGTCCTTATTTGTTGGGCTGCTAACTGCATGGTCAGTTGTTCGAAACCACCAGCCATTACAAGGGAGAAAATTGAGGCTTTCTACTCTGGTTAAGAGTTAGTCTCGAGGAGACCAGGTAGTCTGTCCACCCTTGTGGACCCAAGTAATGGAGAGTTAGAGGGAGAAGAGGACCCTGCAGATAGGAAAACGGGCCCCTTCCGACAACTTCTGAAAGTGACTCCCTGTTTGTGCATCCCAGCCAGCGGTCCCAGTAGCAGCAGCCGGAACCCTCTGTCCGCTGAGGGCAGCAGCTCACTGCTGTACCTAAAGGACAAGGAAATAAAGTTTCAGGACAAAATGGTTCGATTTATCCAAAAGATGCTGTAAAAGATGATGATTTTAAGCCATGCTTGAATAGTCAGACAAATCAGGATAACAACTATCCACCAGTGTCAGATAATACATGCCTAGTTACTGTGCTCATCTATTATTGGATTTTCATATTCTCTTCTGAAGCAGCCTGGTCTATAGCTGGCGACCGACCCATATCATATCTGACAGCCTATGGACAAATGAGTAACGGAGAACATCACATTGTATACCACATGGTGGATTTAGTCAACCTGGGGCATTCAGAAACACCCCTCCATTATTTGGTCAACATGGATTTAACTTGTTTTCATGGTAATGCTGGTTTCTCTGCATGGGGGACAAGTGGATCTCAGGGACAGTCAACACAAAGTTCTGCTTATAGTAGCAGGTATGGCTATACACTTAGTTCTCTTGGGAGAGCTATTACTGATGGACAGGCTGGATTTGGCAATGATACTTTTTGAGTAAGGTGCCTGGCATAGCAGCATTGAGCAAGGTATGACTGGACTAAAAATTGGTGGTGACCCGACAGCTGCAGTGACAAAAAGTGTAGGTATGGCCTGGAGTAGCACTGGTGTGACTAGCATTGCAACCAACAGCGTGCCCCCAGTAAGCAGTGCAGCACCTAAAGCAACCTCCTGGGCTGCCATTGCCAGAAGGCCTGCAAAACCTTGACCAAACCTTAAACCCAGGGGCAATGGGGGGATTGGGGTCTGCTGTGCCACCACCTCCTGTAAGACCTACCATGAATATTGGAACATGGCATGAAAAGGAGCCAGTGGTATAGGCTCCACCAACCCAACCAGTTCTGCCTCCTCAAACAATAATCCAACAGCCTCCGCCATTAATTCCATCACCACCTTTGGTGCAGCCAACTGCCTCAATAGTGGTCTCAGCCCCCACAACCAAAGCAGCAACAAGGACCTCAGCCAGAGGCCCAGCCTCACCAAGTACAGCCCCAGGAACAGCCGCAGCATCGCTGGGTAGTTCCTTGTCACAGGGGGGCAAGCTTCAACCAGAGCCACGGAGCAGGCAATGAAAACGGCGGTTTTGGTGTTGTTCCTGTCAGCGCTTCCCCATCTAATGTAGAAGTGCACCCCGTGCTGGAAAAGCTAAAGGCCATAAACAACAATCATCCCAAAGACTTTGATTGGAACCTGAAGAATGGACGTGTGTGCTTATAATCAAAAGTTGTTCTGGAGATGATATACACCTTTCCATTAAGTGCTCTCTGGTATAGTACTGAGCATGGTAATAAGTGTTTGGATGCAGCTTACCGCTCTCTGAATGGGAATGGTCCACTCTATGTACTCTTTTTTTTTTTTTTTCCTATTTACTCCAGTGTCAATGGTAGTGGATTTTTTGTGGAGTGGCTGAGATGAAATGTGTTGTGGACTATAATGCATATGCTGGTGTCTGGTCTCTGAAGTGGAAGGGCAAGTTTGAAGTTAAATGTTTGTCAAAGATGTTCCCTATAACCAATTATGGCATATTTGTTTAGACAAAAAATGACAACAAACCAGTTACCAATTCAAGGGACACTCAATAGGTCCCCCTAGAAACAGCTAAGCAAGTGGTTAAATAAGTGCTACTTTCAAGCATCCCACCTCTATCTTTGATGACTTTGCTCGTGATGATGGAGGAGGAAGCCAGGTGAAGGGAGAGAACTAGAAGCAAACACCCGCATGGAGATACCTGTTAGAATTGCAGCACTAAGGATGTAGACCCTGGAGATGCCTGATAAGTCAAAGAAGATGTCAGTGTTTTTGTTTGTTTTCTGCTTCGGGTAACATCTTTGAACACTCAACAACAGAATTAACTCTTTTTGTAATAGTTTTCGTCAGTGCAACTGCCCTGGTACTCTCACCTGAGAACTGTAACTTTGTCAAGCACTTTGTGGACTGCAGCTTTTGCCAGCATCTGCTGTCTTTTGTAATTATGGTGTCTTTTGTAATTAGCTAAGGCACAAGGATTCATTAACTTTGGTTTTGTTAAATACTGACAGTTAACCATAAGAAGTGGTTCAGTGATGTAAGAGTCACACTGCTTCAACTTTCCCTTTGTTGTAATTTTTAAATTGTCAGTTTTTAGTGACTTGAAAGATTAAAAGCACAGTAATCATGCCATATTTAATTCTGGAGTTCAAGTCTAAATGTTTATGTGTAAAATTATTGTAGTAAACTTAATAAAGCAAAGCAACCTTAAACTCTATTTTAACCAAATGAAACATAATCTGAAATTGTATCAGAACATTTCCCTTGTCTTCAAACTGACGTAACAAGATTTGATGTAACAAGATATTGATATGTAGCTCAGTGGATTTTGCCAGTTAATACACATTCTTCTTACCTCCTCTCAATAATATGTACACTGAAAAAAAAGTGCATTTCTCTGCTACCACTTAATGAGCCTCAAAATTTTGAGTAAATGTACCTCAGTCTAATCAGGCTTTTTGTGACCTTTATAACTACATTTAAAACCCTTAATTCCTTTTTCTGGGCATTTGAAAGTCTGATTTCTATCATGAATTAAAATTTTATTAATGTATATATTCAGTAGCAAAATAAACATAGTTCTTATTTAGCAAGCCAAAAAAGAGTTAGTCTTGGAAACTCACAAGGGCAGTTCTACCCTGTCCTGTAGGGTCACTCTGAGTTAGCATTGAATTAATGGCAGTTACATTGCTTTTGGAATGTTACCATCTTTATTTGCACCTTTCGGTATTAACCAAAATTTTCATGTAGTATATAAGCAGTTTAAATTTTTAAAATTTTGTTTTCTTGCCTTTTATATTTTGACTGAAAAACATTTCTCCCTTGACTTACTTTAGTTGTCTATCTTAAGGAGGAATTTACAACATAGAGTCAGTCAGCCAAGAAAGCATTGTATTGTGTTCGAAGATGAGTCAGAAGGCAATAAGGAGAGACACAGTGTGGGAGAAACCAACTTATTTTTGCATAATTTTCTGGCATACTTTCACAATTTTGCTGTCATGATTTCTTTGTTTCAGATGAGGCAGAGGACCGTCATATCACTGCAGTCTTGTTTTCTCTTGGTTACCTGTCTACTTACTGCTTTGGAAGCTGTACCTATAGACATAGACAAGACAAAAGTGAAAAATACCGAACCTGTGGATAGTGCAAAGCTAGAACCACCAGTAAGTGAGACAAATCAATAATCCTGTGGGAGGAGTTACAGCTAAAGTACTGCTACTACTTAATATTTACAAAATTAGGCATTAGGAAATATTTCTGCAAGAGCAGTATTCAACGAGCATTGAATATATGAGGGAAAATAAAAAATATTTCTATAGGACAGGGTTTTCTGTTTCTACATGTCGTTTTATTCCAAGCATGTTTGTGTTTAAACATGTCTCTGTGATCAGTGGGTCACTGCAGATAAGTTCTCTCAGTCATACACTTGTCTTAGTCTCATTGGGGTGTCTTTATTTAAAAGGCCCAATCACACGAGTGGCTTCTGAGGGGTTTGCTGGGCCAATTAAATCAGTGCAGGGAGGTCAGCTCAGAAGGTCGTGGCAACCTTTTTTTTTTAATTCTAAAGGCAGAATCTTGATAGAGGGCATTATCATGAGGCTTATTAAGAAGACGTTTTAAGAAAATTGAAAATTTTGTTGGTGAGAACAAGGCAGGAGAGGAGGAGTTTTTTCCACCGCAACACTGCACCTGCACAGTCTTTGAAGCTAGTAAGGACTGTCCTTAAAAAAGAATTTCATTGAGAAACCTTGCCTTATCCACCCTACAGCCTCAATCTTACCCCTTAAGATTTCTTTTTGCTCTTAGAACTCAAATAATATTTCAAAGGAACATAATTTGAGTCCCTGTACAATGTCAAAACTGGTGTTTTGATGTGGCATAAATTGAGGTGCTCAGACTTCTTCAGGTAAGGGATAGAGAGATGGAAACCCTGCCTTGAGAACTGTATGAGCCATGGCAAAGTGTATATTGAGACAAAATCGCTTCACTTTTTGATATTTCTGTTTAAAAGGTATCTAGGATCTTTTTTGGGGGGTGGCAGTCCTTTTGACTTACTCTCCTACATATGTTGTTTGAGCTTAGACAATGTTTATAGTAAATATAGTATAATTAATGTACAACATAGAGTCAGTCAGCTAAGAAAACATTGTATTGTGTTCAAAGGCAATAAGGAGAGACAGGTGACAGTGTGGGAGAAAACAATTAGTGTCATTGTTTAAGGCTTCTTTGACTAAGATGCGTGGGAATTCTACTTTCATGTAACAGTAAAACCTGGGTTTTACTGAGTCTGATACAGAACTCTTGATGTGAGTTTTGGATACAATTGTTTTACTTTGTCAAACTATCAAAATAGGTACAACTAAATGCCATTTTGCTAGAACTTGTTTTTCAGTTTTGAGATCTTTAGATGCAGAGAAGGAAAAATTTTACTCCCCCCCCC